TCTCTCGGAACCTCCAGGTCTTCATGTACAACCCTATGGTCATAACCTGCCAAAGTTTGACCATAGAATTGCGCTGGAGGGAGCGACAAATGCCCAGAGACGGGTTTTCTCTAGGAATCTCCAGGTCCTCCAGTGCAACTCTATGGTCAAAATCTGCCAAACGTTGATCATAGAATAATGCTGGGAGACCTACAAATGCCCTAAAGAAATGTTTTCTATAAGGACTTGTAGGTTCCCTAGCACAACTCTATGGTCAAATTCTGGCAGATGTTGACCTGGAGGACCTAGAGATTCCTAGAGAGGATGCATTGATCAAACCTGCAAATAATCAAATCCGCAAAAGTCAAAGCTGCAAAGGTGGAGGGCCGAGTAATATTTGAAAATGACAAGTCTTGACAAATCCATACAGTCTAGACAAATGACCATCTGGAAATGATGTTCGTTCCACTTGTGGCCGCCATTTTGATGATTGCGGGGACACTTTTTTGGCTAGTTTTCAGCTTGTTCGGCCACTTTGGGGGTGCAAATTACCCAAAAATGTGTGCAAAATTTTAACTATTTCTTTAAAGGGTAGGAGGGAGGGCTTCCAGGGGCTGCAGAATGGGGGTCCGGCACATTGCCCACCCCGACCGACCGACCGACCGACCGGGGTCAAGATGGAGGGGTTTCCCAACCTGGAGGTCTCCTCCCAGGTCCTCTTGAGCCGGTGCAAAGGCGTGGAGTGGAGGGCCGAGACCACGGCGTACAGCGAGGAGAAGTTTCGGAGGAAGAAGCACTCCTGCGGCAGAAAGAATCATCGCATTGTTGAATCATAGAATCCTAAAAGAGTTGGAAGAGACCCCAAGGGCCATCCAGTCCAACCCCCTTCTGCCACGCAGGAACTCCCAATCAAAGCATCCCTGGCATATTGCCATCCAGCCTCTGTTTAAAGACCTCCAAAGAAGGAGACTCCAAGGAAGCAGCATCACTGTCAAATAGCTCTCACTATCAGAAAGTTCCTCCTAATGTTGAGGTGGAATCTCTTTTCCTGCAGCTTGCATCCATTGCTCCATTGCAGGGGTAGGCAACCTTTTTTCCCCTTTAAGGGCCGAGGGACTTCAACTCCCAGAATCCCAGGAGCTATTGGCCAACATGGGACTATTATAGGCCAACATGGCTGAGGCTTCTGGGAGCTGAAGTCCCTCCTTGGCTCTTAAAGGGGAAAAAAGGTTGCCTACCCCTGCTCCATTGTGTCCTATTCTCTGGAGCAACAAGCTTGTTCCCTCCTCGATATGACATCCCTTCAAATATTTA